AACTACCAAGGTTTTTTTTTTTTTTTTAAACATGATGATTCTCAGCAAATGTTTAATTTTACCTAGGTAACACTTCCTCGTGAGGCAGTATTTGTGACCACTTTGATTCTAACAGCAAGAGTCTGACAACATGGGTCATGCAAATTTAAAGCACAAAGACTGCTTCATATCTAGACTGTCATTAAACCATCCTACAGTGCAGGCGTTACTTCCTGCTCTCATAACCCTCCTAATAAAACTAGATTAGGACTCATGAACAAAACCATTTTAATAAAAGCATATGTTACCTTATATTCAAATCACATAACTTTCTATATTATCTACCGAATTCTCAACATAAAAAGTCCTTTAATGTTTAAGCTACATTCTTCACTATATCAAAAACAAACAACCAAAATCAACCTCTGCACCTGCTATGTTACGAGGGATTTATTAGTGTATTTATTACTGCACCGCAACTTTCTGCACAATCTGTCATTGACTGTACTGTCAATATGTAAATGTAGCAACCAGTGTCGCAATCTAAACATTAACATATGATCAAAACGTACAAGACAAGAAACGATTCTCACCAGAGAAGGAACATTTGAAAACGGAGACATAAAAGTTAAGCTGCTGTATCATATTCCCACCTGCCTGATGTACGGTGCTGCACAAAAGTTCCTCTAGTTGAACAGATATCCTGCAGCTATTCATGAATAAGATGTCTAACATAAACAGCTGAAGGTAGACGATATGCACACGCTATAATCACCCATAATATCACTTGAATCTGAATGACCCCTACAAACAAACAGCAAGGGGCCGGTTTCACAAAGATAGACTTTGACTATGGCTTAGATATAGTAGATAGTCAGACTTCAGATAGACATCTAAATCAGACGGTTGCACAAAGCACTTAAGACTCTGACTATCTTAGGACTACACTGCAATGCATTCTGGGTAAAATAGGACACTTTTCAAAACAAAAAACATGGCGGATCGAGTAAGTGCATTCAACCGCTCAGTGCAGTTTACCCCAGCGGAAAATATGTGTTTGTTGGAGGAGTATAACAGTTACAAGGACATTTTACCTGAGAAATTTTGCGGAGAATGTAGTAACAAGAAGAAATGTTTAATTTGGAAAGGGCCATTTTCCCTTTTCTTTTGGCTATTTGTAATGTAACTGATTGTTACTGCTGGTTGCCAAGGTAACACAGAGTCTTAGACCTAAGTTAGCCTAGGGGTAAGGTGTCTAAATTAAGTCAGTCTTTATTTTTGTGAAACTTGCATTAGACTAGTCTATGAGCAAATTTTAGACTTGTCTAACACTATAGACTGGTCTAAAATAGCTCCGTGAAACCGGCCCAAGGTGTTAATAATACTACTACAACCTAGTAGTAAAAGAGCAAAACAGCACTTACTCCTCTGCTCCATCTCTCTCATTTCCTCAGGTGGGATCTTCAGTTTGTCCACGTGTTCACGAAGCACACTCGCCCACTTCTGCAACGACTCCATGATGGTCCAAGGCCGTGACATGTCCACCACAAACACAACTAGACTGTCCTTCAACGACTCAGTGGTCACTGCAAACTTCAGCAAGCCTTTGTGGTACAGGTCTCCATCCAGGATCCACACGCTGCAGCGAGTTAAATCTGGAAGAGTTTATTGTAAATATATCTTTTTTTTTTCTTTTTTTTAACTGAATAAACTGCATTTTCTACATACGGAGTAAATGTACCCAAAATAAAATAAAATACTGGTATTTATCATTCATATTTTTTTTATGTCATGCTAGACTATTTGTTTGGAAAACAATACAATTTCATAGTGCAGCCTTTTAACACAAAACAGCCAATTAAAACAGCCAAAGCTTCATAATCCTTAAATATTATTTTGTTAATTATTTTATCACCTTATTTGACCCAGTTTAAATCACTTACCCTCTCTGTCTTCATCCTGGACGTTGAGGTACAAGTATTCCAGCCCTCTACCTTTCTTACTGTGCTCGGCTCCTTGAAGTTTTGCCATGAGTGTCGTCTTTCCTGAACCATCCTCCCCTAAAACACCAGAAATCATATCACTCATAAATCATGACACATCGGTGTACTGAATAATACAATCCTAAGTGTTAAGACAAAGAAGATTATTTCAGCTTTATGCCTAGGACAAAGTTAAAGGGATAGTTCACAAAAAAAAGAAGAAGAAAAAAGTCATTATTCACTCACTCTTTTCATTCCAAACCTGTATAACTTTCTTTCGTATGTAGAACACATTAAAATATATGTTGTTTTTTGTTCCATACCATGGAATTCAATAACCAAAACTGTTTGATTAATACCAGCATTCTTTAAAATATCTTAATTTGTCTTCTACAGAAAAACAGTAAGCCATACAGGATTGGAACAACGTGACGGCGAGAAAAATAACAGAAGTATCATTTTTGGGGGAATTATCCCTTTACAAGCTTCATACATTGTATTCAAAGAAATTTGCTGAAGGTTGCACATTCAAATGAAGCAGCGTACGTCGATATTGTACGCAAAACATAAATGCACTTTTAATAAACTATGAATTTTGATTGAAAACAATATTCAAGAAAACAACAAATGTCACATACCGAAAAGCAATATATTTTTCCCAGAGGGCAATTTAGAGCTTGAGCGTGTGGAAACTTCGCTGAGGATTGAAGACCTGAAAAACAAAACAAATGACCACCGATCACTTGCCATTCATGACATTAGCAGACAGGGGCTTTAAAGCGTAGAAAGTAGTTGGATGTTTAGTTTCGTCTGCAGATACCTGCAACTAAGTTAGGTAATATAATGTTACCAAAACATACACAAAAAGGCCGTTACAAGAATGAACCTCTCACACAAGAGATGGATGTCAATCAACCGTTAGATCCCATCAGAAAAGCAAATCAACATTCAGTTTCCTGACAACAATCATCACCCGCATTTCAATTTAATTAGCCAAGCAAAGCTTCAGGAGAAACGACTTGAACACTACAAATATGAAAACCGTTGAGTTTAAATGCTAGCCAATAGCACACAACATACACCAGTGAGCATGACATGGGCATATAAACCGAGACAATCTGCGTCCTAACGTCCCAAATACTTTCTTTATTATTCAGCCCGCTGTAAAGGTCTAATCTACCCTAATCCAGACTTTGCAGTAAGTTTATGTGAAGTGTTTTGGGCTCATCCGGGACCGGCGTCTGAACAGGGCAGCACCCGGCTGGTGACAAAGCAACACTTCACACTGTCAAATAAACGGACTCCTTGCACAAACCGCTGCACTTCTGGACACTTTGAGGGTACGAGCGTACCAGAGGTTTTGTCCTTCATCATCCTCGTTACTGTTTTCCATAGTGTCGCCTGTCCCAGCTGCGCCCAGTAGCTTCTTCTCTAAAACGGGAGCCATCTTGAGTGTAGAGGCACAAAGGGAGGCGCACACTGAGCGCCTGAGGACCTCACACGAGAAGCTCCGCGAACTACCTATCCTACTACGGCGAAGGACTAGCTCATGAATATTAACTACGTACCTTGTCGTCCTTCCAGTAAAAGCAGACGTTTGTAAGTGGATTCATGAATATTAATTAGGCACATGACCGGTTCGGGTTGTACAAAAGCAAAGACAGCGTGACCAAATTAATATTCATGAAGAACGACTTCGCCGTAGTAAGAGTCATAAATTATCGCACAGTGCTCTTAGAAATATAAAAACAGACATACAGCTTAACAAAAATCCTAAAGAAGAACAGGACATGTCACCGAATGGTTCCTCAGAACTCATACTTTTTTCTTTGCTTGTTTAAAATACTATGCAGAACACATGAAATCATAAAATACTTTTTGCCCTGATGTTTGTAATTATGATCAGGCATTTGAAAAGGCAAGCACTATCCGCGTTGGCTTGAATGATGTCATTTCAGACTTTGCCGCGCGCGTAAATGTGATTAGCGCGCTGATCTGAGGTCAGTTGTGCGGTTTGCTTTTTCATGGTGAAGATCTAAATATGTAGGAGAGGAAACTGGTCCACGCATATAGAGTGAACTAGAGACTATGCACATTTTATTACAGAATATATAGGCCTGTTACGAGTTATAACGTAGCCTACGATTTACTCTAAAAGTAGTCATTTTGGACCTGTCTTCAAAGAATGGGAAACGAAGGCCTACTCTAAATAACAAATCGCTTTGGGTATTGGTACCAGATGTAAACAGAAACAATATAACTGTTTAAAAAGTGTTGATTATCTTTAGATGTCACATATTGGCTCCCTATTTATAGTAGGTCTAGACCTAAAATGTTATTTTATGCAGATTTTATCTTTTGTCTTGTTTTAATGTATCGATTCATTTTTGTAATTGCAAATCTAGAGAAGTAGGCTATATCTTAAATGCACTTAAATATCATGTAACAAATTGAATAATACGTAAATCCCTACTGCGTTTTTTAACCAAATAAAACAAATTTTTCTCAAGAACTGAGTTTTAATCGTTAGTGCAGGTTAAGGTTTTTTTTTTTTTTTTGCAAGAAAAGGTTCTTTATCAATAAAGTGCAGTGACGACATCTGCCGGTGCAACAATCACATGACAAGACAACGTGAGACCCATCATTTTTCCAACAGGGAATTAAGATTAATCTCACCTCCGTCGTTTTTAAACTTTGGTATGTAAAAAAAACATTCGAAAATAATTCATATAATGTAAAAGTAGTAAATGAAAAAGTAACTTATGGACAAAGAAATGCAGTTATAAAAGATTTTTTTTTTATCATGTTAATTTTTCTCTTTAGTGTCTCAAGACAAAAGTGCCATTAGCAGATAGCTACTTGAACACACAAGATGAGCATCACACCATTAAATAAATGATCAAACTATGACCTTAAACAGGTATATAAACATACCGGTACAAAGAAGAAACTAGTAAACTAAAACTACAATAGGCAAATATGGAAAGAATAGAAAATAAAGACCACCACACCTAATGTATGTGTGCTTATAGGTGCTGAGATAATGAAGGTCCACATCATTCAGGCCCAAAATGAAGTGTTGGGGTGAAGGGATGACAGCTGAGGCACTGCCACAATTACATCTAGAGGCGATTCCCTCAGGCTGCTCCATATGGCCCTGCAAACTGAAACTGTGCTTCACTGGCAAGAGCGGAGGGGTAAGACTGGGTCTCCTGGGAAAAGTAGCATGCCAAAACCCTGACTCATATAGAGGCCTGTAACTTGATCTTCTTCCTTTTATTCTTTAGCCATTAACACCCTGCTGTCAAGAAAAAGTTATTTTACTGACTTGAGAGTCAAAGCACCAAACCCTCTGTAAACATCACATTTGAATTAATTATTGTATGCCTTTTGTTTTGTATTTTTTTTCATTTTTATTAGTTGTTATTGTCCATATAGTTAATAACCATGATAACTAACTGCAGTGAATCTTAAACTCAAGATTCATCTTTTTTATCTAGCTTTCATAAGCCTTCCACTTGAAGTTGTGCAACAAAAATGACTTATTATTTTGAAATGTTATTCCTGTCATTCTGTCTCTCGTCAATATTCGCATCCTCTTGTTCACAGGCATTGAGATGTGGCCATTACTCCTGATGCACCATCATTCTTCAGACACTAGAGGCTGCTGTCTTCTTCCCCCCCCCCCCCCCAAAAGAAAGCTGCATCACGAGGAAAAACATTTTTGTTGTTGTTTCATTGACATGAGACTTATGATTAATCACAGATATGTAATGCTTGCCAAACATTCTATAGGGCATGAAGCTCACAGATCATAAACCTTTCAGCCTTTCACAGAGTCTGTGGGAACTCTGTAACCTTGAACTCTCTGCCTGGAATAGTTGGGCATTTTAACAAATTACCAACAAACCAGCTGTGTGACCAAAATCAAAACACTGTGCAGTTTTTAGACATGAATGTAGATAATTGAAACTGTCAAGAAACAAAACAAAACATTTACACTTTTCACTTGACACTACAAGCTCATATTTTTAGTATCTGACTGTAAAATCCTGTGTTAGATTGTTGAATTTCTAATCTTGACAAAAAATGCAAGCTGTACTGTAAAACACGCAGAACTACAGAGGGGAAACTGGTTTCTCACGACCATGTTTCATAGCATTCCATGTGTCTACAGTGATGAAAGGGCGGCGCTGGTTCATTCCTCCCCTCAGTGGGATTTAATCATGAGCCTGGGATGAGAAAAAAAAACTGTATATAAAATATATAGAATTGGCTTGTCTACATAAGGATTGATTATTATTGTCACAGAGCGACCTTTGTTGTACACCTGTGTGCAAAACAGGTCTAATTCATAATTTTGTATTTTTCTGTTTTTGCAATACAGTTAGGTCTACATAATTCATTGCTCTTCAAAATGAAGATTCTAAGTTTATTGTAATGTTAAAAATCACAAAAATTACTGCAACTGTGATGTCTGTCTCAGATGGTCTTTTCAAACACATATTCAATATACTTGGTTGGAGGGCACATAAGATATTAGAGCTCACAGAGAACTATCATTTAGAATAGATGCTTGTTGAATCTAATCTAAAGCTTATTATAAAAGATGAAGATGAAAAGTTCGTTTGTATGTATTCAGCATTTTATTTACATACAGGGTACACATGAACGGGCCTAGTAGAATTTCATTGCACCTCTGCCTTTACTATTAACACCAAGCAGCCAAATTACACAAGAGTGCCATGTATTAGACCGCTTAAAGTGGAATGTATAATTAGGAATGACCTCATGGCTCTCTTACACTTTTCTTGACTTATCTGCCCTGTGACACAAATGTCAATCAGAAAACAATATTCTGGTGGTTTACAGACACACAGAGTATTTGACTCATTCTGCGTCATCAAGATAAGAACAACTGAAATGCCTTGCTGTTTAAGCAATGGTTACATTAAGTTTTTCTTCCTTTTACAGAATAACTGCTTAGGACAGGATCAGTCTGTGGACGTCTGAATTCGAAGGCCCTGCTTACAATTCACTTCATTCTCCTCTCCTTCAGCCATGGGGGTGGAGAATTGCTGTAACCCCCATCTTTACACACACACACACACACATACACAGAGAGAGAGAGAGAGAGAGAGAGAGAGAGAGAGAGAGAGAGAGAGAGAGAGAGAGAGAGAGAGAGAGAGAGAGAAATGCATGCTAAAACCAATCAAGCAGGTGGAAAAAAGGCAGCAACTTCAAGTCAAAGGAATACGGTTGCTATAGTGATCACTTCAAAAAGTGAAAGAAAAGGGGGCATTATTCCCAAAACCCATTATAAAGCCCATCTAATCTTGCTAAAATATGCACCCAACGTGAGGGGGGAGGGAAGGGAGGAGGAGAGGGAGGGTATATGGATTATGAGCAGTGGGCAGGAGAGGCTGTGATAACGACAGATGTCTCACAAACCGGGGGTTTAACAGGAGGGGTGAAAGAAGAAAAAAACGCCCAGTCGCATATTGGACCTCAGGGAGAGAGTAGGACTGGCTCTGACTGAATCACATTCACTACTACAGGAGAAAAGAAAGTACATTCAACGCGCTCTTTCACGCGGATTTCAACAGAAACTGAGAGACAGGTTAGTAAAATGTTAGTCTCAATTTTATAGTCTCTTTAAATAACGGGGAAATCACTTATAAAACAAAGCGTTTTATTGGTGCAGGAGATATGCAGGGTATTTGAACAATGCAGACTGCACGAGCCGTTCTTTGTTCTCGTTATTCTGATTTGTCACTTATGAAAACTAAAAATGCACAATAGGCTACCATATTTAGATTATTAAGTAGCCTATAGTACGTGTTTTTTTATTTTTTATTTCCTAGAAATATCTGAATGTCACTTTACAAATGTCACATTTAATATTTCTAAATTATCATGGGAATGTGTGACTGGTTTCCTAAATGTATGAGAGATCAAAATATGAGTTAAAGTAAATATAAGTAAGCTTTTATTTTATTTATCTTTTTAATGGAGCTGTGGGTTACAGGTAGCTCTTACCCAGTTTAACCCCTTGTATTTCGATTTCCCTTGTATTTCGTCTTGCTATGGAAAGCAGTGTTTTAAGGAAATAGCGTTAATTTGCACTAATAAAAAATTCTTATTCAGACGTAAGGAGGAGCTGATCGATATGAAGGGGGGAGGGGGGTTGCTAGCGTGGGGGTGGGCGGTAGTGTGTCTTACTTAAAAATATAGGCTGCTAAATAGCCAATCAAAATATATATTTTCCTTTTTCGTGTTATGCTTTTCATTTTTAGGACTGATCATTACACATTGATGATTGATTGTTATAACCCGCAGCAATTGGATAGGTAATTTGACTCAGTGTACTATTTCACCACGACTTCAAGGACATAACTTTCATAGCCTACCGTCATTAAGGAGATTTATTTACATCATATTAATGAGTAACTTCATCAAGCTAGATTCGCAGAAATAGGCTAATGGAGGCTGTGAAGCATTCTGGCACAGAGCGCTGTGAGAGGCTCTAATAAAAACTGTCTTCAGTGAGCGCTGACTAGGCACTACAGCACATCTCAGCAGCTGGACTCATTTGCAGGTTGGACTGGGGCATGACTGCGTATCCGGTCTTTGTTTGCCCCAGTGCAGTACTACGGACAGCTCCTATTGTAACCCCACCATGCTGCAGTTTAAGTGATATTTAGTCAACTGAGTTGCAATAACTGCAGATTTGTAAAAGGTTGCAAATGGTACCATAATCAGTTACAAGAAAAAAAACATTTTTAATCTACCTCACACTTTCATAATTCCACATATTTAAAACCAATTCATAACTGTCGATTTAACAAGTTAATTTAATTAATTAGCTATGGAAAAATAACGCTTTTAAATGATTTAACGCACCCGCCCCGCCCCAGACCTAAGTCTTACATTTCATACAGTTGATTGGTGATGAACATGATGCAGGCCAGTGTAGCCTATAGAATGCAGTTAGAATGCCCCTAAAAATCAAGATCTCTGGGCAAAATATTACAATGTTATTATAAATCATATGAGTTTTTGTCTCATATGTATATCATATGATACAGTAGGAATAGGCTAGTTAAAGGGATAGTTCACTTTGAAATTAATTTTTGATATGTTTTAGCTTACCTCAAGGGCATCCAAGATGTAGGTGTCTTTGTTTCCGCAGAAGTTTCAATTTTGATATTTTTAGGTCAAACCGTTCTTGTCTGTCAGTCATATAATGCATGTCAATGGTCACCACCTCAAAGAGCATGCACAGAGAAGTCCAAATTAAACATGATTTAATGACTCGTAAATGTAAGTACACATTGATGGCCTAAAGGCCTGTTCACACCGGGACGAATTTCGCGCGCGATATTCGCCGACGTTTAACGCCTCGTGACTAAACAAAGGGCGCCAATGTGAGTGTGCACACGACACGAAAAACGCCACGCGTAAAAGCGTCATTTTTTAAAAAACGCCTCGGGTTCGGTTTTTTAGTTTGACGCGCCGCGTCAAAAACTATCCGACCAATGAGATTGGCGCTTTTGCTCACATGTCTGGAGCTTCTGAAGTTACAGTAAAACACAACTTGGGGGCGCTCAAACACAAAACGGTCTTGCCGAGCACACATACGTAACGGCGAAGAAGATATACGCCAAGTAGCGTCTACACTGCCGGGAAGAAATAAGACGAGGAAGATGCAAGGCAAGATGAATGTAGAGCTGCTGGTCTCGTTGGTGTCGGAACATAAAGAACTATATGACAAACGCGACAGCGACTACAAAATCTTGATAAAAGAGAATGTTATTGAGTGGTATTGCAGAGCAAATGGGCGCCATCTAATGTCAGGGAATACATGTTCACTCGGCTCATCGTCAGCGAAAATCGCTTGGGTGTGAACACAAAAAACGCGTTGAAAAACGCTGGCGAATAACGCGCGCCGATATTCGTCCCGGTGTGTACGAGCCTTGAGACACGAAACGAGTGGTTTGTGTGAGAAAACGAACAGTATTTATATCATTTTTACCTCTTGTAACCACAGCCACGTCCAAGTGATCTGAGGGCGCGGGCGCTTCGGTCTGTGCGTTACAAGAGGTAAAAACGATATAAATACTGTTCGTTTTCTCACACAAACCGCTCGTTTCGTGTCTTAGGCCATCAATGTGTACTTACATTTACGAGTCATTAAATCATGTTTAATTTGGACTTCTCTGTGCATGCTCTTTGAGGTGGTGACCATAGACCTGCATTATATGACTGACAGACAAGAACAGTTTGACCTAAAAATATAAAAATTGAAACTTCTGCGGAAACAAAGACACCTACATCTTGGATGCCCTATCAAAAAATATCAAAAAATTATTTCAAAGTGAACTATCCCTTTAAGCAATATCAAACGAGTGCTGTTCTTGTCCCGAATAGCACAAGTGGAAGTGTGACATTGATTTTATACAACAACAGTTACAACAATAAACAATAACAATATAAATAAATAAACAACAATAAATAAGAAGTCAATATTGTGTTATATTTTATAGAGACAATATTGTCTGTTTTTTGCTCAATTTTGCCAACTAAAATATTACCTATAAAGCCAAAGCATAACTGTTGTGCTTCTCCGAGCAACACACAGCAGTGTTTCGTTACTAAAAAAATCAACGTTTTGAGCGAATCAATCGGGTGAACCAAGGCCCATTCATAATAGGTGTGTATGACTTGAAGCGGCGCTGCACAGACTGATCGGTGTATGACATCAAAGTAGCCTACAGCGAGAGCGTTTCAAAAGCACACCGCTTAAGTCAACACACCTATTTACTTAATTCTTGAATAAATCAAGCCAAGGAATCAAATAAATGAATGACTCAATAACTTAGTCATTTAGACATTTACCGCCACCTGGAAGTTTTAGTTTGTTATTAGGAGCATCATTTCCTTAAAAATAATAATGATATAATTTCATATTTTGGGAATAGTTTGCCTAAAAAAAATGAAAGAATCTGTTTATTTACATTTAATCAGCATCATGTCGTTTCAAACCCGTAGTACTTTCTTTCTTTTGCAGAACATAAAAGATATTTTGAACAATGTTGGTAACCAAATAGTTTTGGTCTGTAGTTTATTATATATATATATGTGTGTGTGTGTGTGTGTGTGTGTAATAAATTCCTAGTTGAATCAATAAAAATATTTATTTTTTTGTAGTATATTTGATGCTTTTCTAATTTAACACAATAATGACTTTAAAACATATTTTGGGATAAATTCCTCAGCCAAATCTGATGTGTGATTAATTTGCGATTGATTCGATTAATTAATCTGCACATCATGTAATTAATTCGATTAAAAAATCTAATCGCTTGACAGCCCTAATTTAAACATATCAACTTTCTACAATTTAATTAGATTACTTGCCAGTTACAATAAAACAATATTGTTGTATGATGAAAGCTTTCATTGGATTCAAAAGAACAAATTAAGTAGCATCAGTAGCACTGACAAATGTGGCCTATAATGTGATCTATAATCAGCCTTTTCCCTGAATCTTATCTTTCCATCTCCCCAAACCAAGCAGCAATAGCTATTTTTTTGAGTATATACTAACCAAACCAGACATGAAACATAAGAGAAGTGAATGACTTTTATATGATAATTTTATATGAAATGATATTGGTTTTTATTTAATGTCGTAAAACTGTATACAAACTGATAGAATTAAAAATTAAGATATAATAAAATACACTGACCTGTTGGTTTTGAACTTAGCAATAGGTTAGGGCGAGGATTAGGACATTAAAAGTGCTATATTTCAAGGATTCAGACATTAAAAGTGCTGTATTTCTATTCCAGATCCTTCTACCCCATTATATACAATAATCACATGCTGCCGTAACACTGTAAGACTGGGTATTTGAATAATATTAAGTTATTATTATTCAATAATCAATAATAATATTCAATAATATTATTGAACTAAGTGACATTCCCATCCAGTCACTGTTTGTCCGCTACATTCTCCTCCTCCTTAACAGAGCTGGACTGCATTCAAAGTCCTTGGCAGAGGTTGCATTTGCTTGAAATGAATGAGTGAGGGATTTTTAAATGAAGAAATGGGCTGGGTCATGTTGGCAGTTTTACATTTTACAATTTCATATCCATAATGAGCTTCTAAGAAGGTTGGTTATTTGCCCGGTGGAGTTTTAGACCAAATGTATTCACTGAATGAATGCAATGGATATTGCTTTGGATAAAAGTATCTGCCAAATACATGTGCATATATTGAAACGCAGTGATGTGCATAGCTTACATAAGATGTTCTTCTGCTCCCACAGGACATCATGGGAGGCAAGTTAAGCAAACGGAAGAAGGGATACGATGTCAGTGACCCTAAAGAGAAGAAAGAGGAGAGTGCTGTGGCAGCAGTTGAACCATCTGAGAAGGCAGAGAGCCCTGTGACTGAGGCGGAGGCTGCACCACAGGAGGCTGCAGCAGTGAGTGCAGCAGCACCAGTGCTGGAGTCTAAAGCACCAGCTGAGAAAACCGCATCTCCTTCAACAGCACAAGCAGAGGAGAAGAAGGATGATGCAGCACCAGAAAAACCAGTGGCTACAACAGAGGCATCTACTGCTGCACCTAAGGAACCAGCAAGTGCTCCAGAGGAACCGGCAGCTGTAAAGCCAGCAGCTGTGTCAGAGTCACAAGCTACAGAGGTACCGGCCTCTGCATTAGCAGCGACAGCAGTAGAGACAAAAGCTGCTATACAAAAGGCACCGGCAGCAGAGGTACCAGCAGCTGCAGTAGAGACACCACCATCAGCTGCACCAGAGGCATTAGCAGCTGAGAAGACTTCAGCTGCACCTAAGGAACCAGCAGCTGAGGAACCGACAGCTGCACCAGAGGCATCAGCAGCTGAGAAGACTTCAGCTGCACCTAAGGAACCAGCAGCTGAGGAACCGACAGCTGCACCAGAGGCATCAGCAGCTGAGAAGACTTCAGCTGCACCTAAGGAACCAGCAGCTAAGGAACCGACAGCTGCACCAGAGAAACCACTGACAAAAGAACCTGCAGCTGCACCTGAGGAACCAACAACCGCACCAGCAGCAGAGGAATCTGCAGCTACACTCCAGGAACCGGCTGCTGCACCAGAGACACCAGTGACAGAGAAACCTGTGACTGCAACAGAAGAACCAGTGAAGACACCAGTGAAAGAAGAACCTCCAACAACACATGAAGAACTTGAGAATGTGGCAGAGGCACCAGTGGCAGAGGAACCGATAACACTATTTGAGAAACCAACAGCTGTGGCCGAGCCACATGCAGCTGCACCTGAGGAACATGCAACTGTCCCCAAAGCTGAGGAATCTGCAGCTGCACCTGAGGATCCTGCCCCTGTGCCAGAGGTGCCTGTATCATCACCTCAACTTGCAGCTTCGCCAGTAGAACCTATCACAGAGGAGGCAGTAGAGAAGGTGGTTGAGGAGGTTGCAAATGTCAGTGAAACCATAGAGGTCACACCAGAACAGGAGGCAGTCACTGAGGCAGTAGCTCCAGAGTCAGTCGCCGAGTCTACCCCAGTGCCTGAACCTGTTTCCGAGGCATTGAGTGCGGCAGAGGTCGAGAAAGCTGTGCCTTCCCCTGAAGAAACCCCAACAGTCACAGAGCCTGAATCTGAAACTGCTGCACTTCCTGAGGTCACACTAACAGAAGCAGATCCCGAGCCACCCGCAGAGCCAACACAACCTGAACCTACGACAGAGCAAAAGATTGCAGAGGAGTCTATTCCCACAATTGTCATCTTGGAATCAACCTCGACCAATGAGCTCTGCCTTGAGGAAACTGCCCCGACTGTCATAGAAGAGAAGCTGAATAATGGAGACTGTGAGAGTTCTGGCTCAGCAGAGGAATCTGTGTCAGCTCCCCCTGAGGTAAATGGGGAGTGCCATGAGCAGGCACCAGACATAGGCTCTTTGGATGTCCTTGGGTCCCCGGTTGAGGCATGTGTAAATGGTGTGAAGGACAAAGAACCCCCTCAAGTGCTGAGTGACTGTGAAATGAAAAAGGACTTGAGTTTGGATGCTGACTTTCAGGTTCCAGCTATGATTGGCGACATGGTAGAGGTGCCACAGTGAGTCGATTTAATCTGAGAAACAAACCTTAAATGTGAATCCCATATTGATGCAAACAATGAAACAATCGTCTGACAACACGGGCTTTCTGAAAATAAATGTGAAAAATGCCTGTTGTGTTCTCTCAGGCAAAGGAATTTCTGGTTAACCAAAAAGAAATACAACCACCCAAGAGCTAAGTGTGAGAAACAAAATAAGAATGAAACAGTGAGGGTGAAAGCCTAAAAGGAAATGGGAGGGAGGGAGAGAGAGAGAGAGCGGATGGTCTTTGAAGTCTTTGTGGCCGGTGTCCTGCTGTCATTGCAGAGGGTGAGCTTGCAGGCCTGGCTGAATATGTAAACCAGAGAGATGATGATTACATATGAACAGAACATAAAATAAAAAACAAGATGGCAAAACAGAAATGCACGACAGTAACAATGGTAAAAATGATTTGAATGAACAGAATCATCTTTTGTGTTTGAGCCTGATGCATATTAAAATGGTTTATTGGATTAGCATTTAATAGTATATAATCCAATTTAGACCACATTTCTGTCACCATGTAATACAGAGATTTGAGGATGAAGCATTTTGAAATTTTCATGTTGGGAGAATCAGTGAGTAATGTTCATTTTAACTTAATGGCTTGGCTTAGAAAATAAAACACTCTGTTATACCTTAAAAACTGTTTTTCTTTTTTGAACTTTTGTGAATGTTGTGCTGAATGGGTGGAACCTGTTTTTCAATATAAAAAGAGTATTTCAATTAAATGTATGATGCAATCTAATGCATAGAGCAAACACATTTTGTTTCAATAGCATGTGCTCAGCATGTGCAGCGTTGACTCTAAATTGATACAAAAGTGGTGTTCTGTAGAGAGCTGCAACAGTTACATTCAAGGCCTGTTTTCCGCCATTTTGTGTGATAGTAGATATCTGACTGGCAAGTCACCATTTCAACAATGTCCCAAGAGTCATTGACTTTGTAAATTTGTTCTGTGGGGCTGGGCCTCAGGCACGTGTTGTTTTGAGTAACATGGAACATGGCCATGAAAGCAAATGTCTGTTCAGAGGCTTAACTCAGCAATCAGGCTGTGGTAGAACAGGGAAACTGATTTTTATTCTTCACATGAGGAAATAGGTTTCAGGATAATAGGAGGGTGATGCTGCACAATGCAGAAGACTGCAGTGGGGGGAACAGGACTGGGAAAGGTCTCTTCTTGATAGGAGGAGCTCTGACACAGTGTAGAAAGGGAGAGAGTGGCCATGACAGACAAGATAATACCTTCAGATATTTTTACATGTACACATACACATAAATAATGGCCTCTACATAGAAAGGAAAACACATGGACAAATGAACAACATGGAATATGAAGAGCTCAAAAAACAAGAACTGTAAACATGCTACTCTCACCTACTATCTAAAAGAAAAGAGGGCCTTTTGCACATGCAAAGTGCTAATGCACAGGACTGATTACAGGGTATGTTTGTACCACTGTGTGTGTGTCTGGAGAAGCATGAGAAAGGCTTTGCGAGAGAAGATGCTGGAAATATCTGAAGGTTCCCAAGTGCCCTCCGCAGGCACTATAATGAGCTCCTCCACATACCAAGCACGAATTCTCGGATTTCTTAAAAAAAAAAAAGGAAAAAACACACAGGCATACAGATTTATGAAAGGAATGTTCTCTAAAGCTGAGGGGGGTGGGATGGGTGAATGAACTCACTGGCTTCAGTGTTTTTTAGAGTCACTGAAAACCTTATTCTCTTTACCATTTGTGAAATGAGAATGGATAGTATTATGTGGGGGAAAAAAAATGCTATTTAAACAAAAATTGTGCAGCTGCATTGCCCATTTAAAGGGGTAGTTCACACAAAAATGAAAAACTGTCATGATTTACTCACTCTCATGACAATCCAAACCTGTATAACTTACTTTATATATAGAATATATAGATATTTTGAAGAAAGTTCATTATACACATTTTTCCAAATATTTTACTTATTATTATTAAAACGCTATAATATCTTGCACTATAAGTTCTTAGGGTTTTTTACACAAACCACTGTTTGTCATCAAAAATAAACTCTGGTTTGCAGATTTAAGGGGAGAGGAATTTTCAGTACAAGGTGTCCTGTTTCCTCATCCCATCTTACTGTGCTTGGGGAGCAAGGTTCCTTCCTTCCTTCAACTTTCTCTCTCGCTCCCTTCCTCCCTTATTCCCCCTCTCTTTTCCTTAGCTTTCATGCACAAGAGATGAGAGGCCCTGCTTGCATCTTGATTTAAAGGCTCTCTACACAGTGCATAGTTGTGCAGCCACAGCTGCAGTGCTTGGATACACCAGCACTATGTGTTCTATACTGGAGCCTTGGCACAAAACTCAACGTGTTTTCCTGTTCCTGACACATTAGGACATTTGATCGTTCACTTCCCTGCCTCCCCATAATATAAAATTCCCTTCATTGGTACAAATCAACACCAAATCTGGCACACGTATTAAAAGTATTATGTTATTTAAAGCTGCAGTCCGTTTTTCCTCTTTGTCGCCATCTCTGTTCGAAATCTGCAATTGCAGTTATTCGTGGAATTACCAACTTTACGTGAGTTGTGCCTCGACACGGCGTGGATGAATCCAATGTTTGAGGAGATTCTTAAGAGTGTGCAGCTGTCAGTCGCCGCGCCGGTGTGGATACTGGCATTCAGAATTACAGATTATTCTTTTTGGAAGTATGACCAACATAATAATTTTCACCGGAAAATGTGATCTGAACAAGTAACATCCACTTTTGTTCTGGTTCTGACATTGCAGTAAATCACGCTGATTAAATCTAACAATCGCTTATCATTTTCATGTCACGTAAAACCGTGCAAATTATACTTTGTTCTCAAATTGTTAATGTTCAACATCAGCATTGCGTGACTACATGTAATGTCCTTCCGATATTTGTCCTTGTTTTCGCATGGGCCCGGTTGCAGTCTCTTTTTTCTGTAGCCACTCCGAAGTCTTTTGCATTTTACAACGTGGGGGGAATCTCCAGTCGTCACTGGTGATTGTCGTTTTGAACCTTTCTGGATCCGCCATCAAACTGATAAGTTTAATTGTGAGAAAAGCTGTGAGAAAAGGCTATAAATCTCTACCTCCAACATCCTCACACGCAATATAGCCTACTAGCCGAGACTCCTTCTTTATGTGTACAGATGTGACGTAATGACGCAAAGACATGCTCGAATCTCCTGCGGAAATCCACCAGTACCCCACTGGAATTAAAAACATTATTACAAGCTTACCATTTTGAATCGAGCTAAGGCAAGCAGATAGTTTTGAACACTGGCTGGTTATGTATTTGCTCAAAAATTTATTTTGGATAATTTTTAATCCAAAAAAGTTACGGACTGCAGCTTTAAATATATTTAAAGTTGCCATGAAATAGATATTCACTTTATCTATTTTCTAAATGCATCTTATTGATCTTCTTGTTAATGATTCAGCCATGCATGTTTCTTTTTTTTTTTATCTTGTAATTTTTATTACATTTATTTATGTATGTTTATTACATAACTCGATCTTCCGACTCTCTGGTGATGTATGCAAGACTTTCCCAATCATTTAGTCCAATTGCTTAAACGCTGCCCCTTTTAATCAACTGCAACTCGAATTATGATCTGCCTCCATCCAAATCAAAATTTAATGGACCAAAGTCAACAACCAAAGTACCTGCCCTACATTTTTTTATTTTATTTTTTATTTTTGGGGGTGTTAAAAAATTGGAACGCACACAAATAGACACAGTGGGAGCATTTCAGCATTTCACAAAATGTGCTAAAAATGTGTTGCTAAAAATGTCGTTGTGTGATAGTTTGATGTTCTTGTGTTCTGGAGTATTTCAGAGAAAATAATATACTACAATACCAAATATTTACTTTCATTTCTTTCTTTCATATTTACTTTTAATTGTTAGATTTTTGCAACGGTATGGTGGAAATGCCCATAGATGTCTTGATTTGAATGGCGATAAAGTGGTGAAAGGGAGAAGAGAGAGAGAGAGAGAGAGAGAGAGAGAGAGAGAGAGAGAGAGAGAGAGAGAGAGAGAGAGAGAGAGAGAGAGAGAGAGAGAGAGAGAGAGAGAGAGAGAGAGAGAGAAATGTGAACAAAAATCAGTGCCCTGACATAGACAAAGAAAGTGTGGTTTCTTTCGAAATCCATATCACATGACTACAAGAATACTTTTTGACCTCTACAGATGAAAGTCAATGGATGACTTTGGTCCAGTCACATCAGTAGGCTATTGCAGCTGTAGATGCAGGAGAAAAAGAAAAACCAAAGTGTTAAAAAATGCCACAAAAACTCCAAGGGGGATTCCCATTGTTTTTACTACTCCTCTCTTATTCTCTCGCTCCCTTTGTGATTCATGGCCTGGCAATGCTCTGCCCATCTGTGCTGCTGCTCTATACGGCTGTCATTATATGCGGGTCTGCAGAAGGCTTTCAACGTGAGCTCAGTCATACTTACAACCAGTATTGATCCACAAGTTAGCGTAATGGCCACCGAGAGGGCTGGGTCTGCCTCTTTACCCTTTCCCCTCTATTGCTCTCTCTCCCTCCCCCTGCCTATATAGATTGCACAGTTCCCCGGCCTGGCCTGTTGTCTATTCAAGCTCTGCAGCACACTTTTGTAACAGACCCAGCCAAATGCACATTTGAGAGGTGAGGAAAGGGAAAACAGTGTGAGAGTGGAGGTTGTGTGTATGTGTGTGTGTATGTGTGCTGGTGACAGCCCCAGCATGGAGCCTCAATGGGGGAAGATGTGTCTTTGTCGTGCCGCCCAACCCCCTTCTTCTCTTCCCTCTACCCTCAGCCATTAGGAGAGAGAATTTTATACCCTAACACTCAATCATTCTAGACCATTAAACAGAGGAAGGAGGAACCAGAAGCCACATGCTAAGCAGAGCTCATTTTTCCCCGAACAGCGCAACAATCCAGCCAAACTGATTGTGTTTGATGTTGCACTCCTCTTTCCAGTCATTATTGTAAAATCATACATTTGCCAGTTGCTATAAAGTTAAATGACATTTTTAGGTGTAGATATGCAAACACACACATGGAGTGTTTCTAGCCTTTTGTCCGTATTAGGGCACAGACCCAATGCACAAATTTGTTATGGCTAGTTCTAATTATAAACAGCAGAGAGAAAACACATGTTACATGATTGCTGAATTCTTATATAGGAAAATGATTCTCAGACTGGTATGGTAATCATACCTTCAGACAAGGATTTATCAGTAATATTTTACTTGGGCACAGCAGTATTTAAAAGGTCTAGCGATGCCCCTCACTCAAACTGTATCCTGCAATGTTAAAATCAGCACACTGAACAAGTTTGGATGACCCAGCATGCTCGTTCCCTTACACAGCCAGGTGAACAGTGGCACTGGGTATGTAAGCATGTGTGTGTGTGTGTGTGTGTCTGTGTGTGTGTGTGTGTGTCCAGCATGCTCGTTCCCTTACACAGCCAGGTGAACAGTGGCACTGGGTATGTAAGCATGTGTGTGTGTGTGTGTGTGTGTGTGTGTGTGTGTGTGTGTGTGTGTGTGTGTGTGTGTGTGTGTGTGTGTGTGTGTGTGTGTGTGTGTGTGTGTAAGATTAAATATTAAAACTATGTTGAGCTCAGTCACCTTGAGAAAACTC